TGATCTTTAATAGTTAATTTTGGTGCATTTATATAGCCATAGCTTTAGTTGGCTGGCCTTTCCCCCTCCTTTCCCTTCTCTTCCTCTTTGTCATTATTATTACTGTTTACACTTTACTGAATTTACTAATTGGCTACAACCATCACTTAATGTGATTTATTTAAAATAGAACATTGTAGGCCGAGAGACACAGATGAGACAGAACCTGACTGGCACATCTTGGCATTGCCGCCAAGTACATGAATGTGTAAAATTCATTGACATCCACCTGGGGTTCAGTTAGAGATTTTTTTTCCCCTCATTTTTCAGATGAGAATGCCAAGTTCCATGGGGACTGGGTGACCTTTCCCGGCACACATGGCATTTCCTTTTAGAGCAGCCTGGGACTAGCTCCCCGTTCATCCCAGCAAGGATTGAATTGGGTGATCCTGAGTGAATAAAATATGTCAAGACTGAATTATAGAATGTAACATTGAATGTGGTATAGACTATGACCTGTACTTCAAAGGGCATAAATTATTTTGTGTTTGGCTTAGGAATGTTAATTCCTATTTCTGTGCACATTTTAGTTATAGATATAGATGTGTCATGGTTTCCAGCATGAGTTTATTTATGGAACCAACTATTCTAATGCTTATTAAATGTAAATTTGACCCTAGGTTATATCTTTGGTTAAAAATGTTGCATAGTTTTGGTTGTAATTTAGTGAAAATTTTAGTGTGGATTTTTTTTTAAGTTTGAAACAAAAGTTAGGATTTTAATTTGAAAAACAAAATTTAAAAAAAACTATGGTGGTCCTTGGGGCTGGAGTTGAAGCTCTGGCAGAGCACTTGCCTTCTGCCTGTGAGGCTCTGGGTTTGATCCTTAGCACCACATAAAAAAAAATAAATGAACAAAATAAAGGTACTGTGTCCATTACAACTAAAAAAAAATTTAAAAATATGGTGATACTTGATTAAAATAGGTGAATAAATCCCTTCTGGGCACCATACTGGAATTTTCTTTACTATCAAGTAAAAATGTACTTTCTTGGGTTTCCTAATCAGTAGATTAGGGGGCCAGATAACTAACTCTCTGGTTCTCAAATTTTCCTTCTTGCATCTTAAATGGAAGATTAATTCTGTTTGGGAACAAATTGCATGATTCATAATCCAAAGGAATTCAGGGAGTCCATGGTGGAGTCTGAGTCTCATAGGAAGTGGAGGTCGGCTCCAAACCCCCAGTTGCTGGCCCAGCCCTGACAGGTAGCTCATGTCTCCCCACCTTTGTATCAGTTCTGAGTGTGCAAGAGATGCTGTCATGGGGCTCTGAGACTGGGTCAGTTTTCTGTCCTTCCTCTTCTTTACACCTCCGCTCTCTGATTTGTTTCACCACAGTTTGTTTTTGTTTACTTTCATATTTCACATAAGTGGAATCACACAGCACATTCTTTGTGTGTCTTTCTTCTTCCACTTGATGTTTCCCAGAGTCATCTGTGTGGGGTGGAGCTCATCTGGTTCCTGCTGAGCAACTCCATTTCTGACTCAACCACATTTGGTTTATCCCTCCTGTGCATGATGCGTATTTTACCTAGGCCTGATTTCTTGCTTTGTTTATGTCCCTCTTGCTGTTTTCCCTCTTTTTCCCCACCTCATAATTTTTGAATGAATGTGTCGACCTCTTTTGTTGATTTTTTCTCTTGAAATAAGGTGACCTTTGCACACACAGTCCTTCTTTCAAGTGAGCAAAGTTAGACTTTCTGTTATCTTTGATTATTGTTTGTGTTCTACTTATTCTCTCCTCCTTCTGAGTACACTGGCTGCCCAATAGTTAATAGTCCCTTCTCTGGTCCTCTGTTTTTTTTTTTAAATTTTTATTTTGTATGAAAGGATAGCTATCCAACTTACCCTCTTCATCACTCATTCTATGTGGCACCAACAGTGCTTTTTATTGCTGCTAGAATAGACTTTGAGTTTGTATTCATATTCATTTTTATTGAAATTCTCATTATCTTACATTGCAATACTTTATATTATTATTATTTACAATATTATATTGTTATCTTATCCTTTTAGCTGTTCATGCATTTTTTTGCCTTTACATAAAAGTCACATTTACTTGTACTTTCTTGAATATATGAAACCTTTTCCTGAAACTTTATTTTGCATCATGTAAGAAATATTCAGAAGGAACCTGAGAAAGAATTCCCTCTGTTCCAATGTACTTTCTCATCAGTTACCTTTAAAAAATATTTGTTTTTTAGTTTAAGATGGACACAATATCTTTATGTTTATGTGGTGCTGAGGATCAAACCCATTGTCCCATGCATGCCAGACGAACACTCTACCACTGAGCCACAACCTCAGCCCTCATCAGTTAACTTTTGTTTTTCCCTTCTTTCCTTCCTTCTTTCTGTATTATCCTCATAAAAGTGAGTTCTGTACATAACGATATGAGTTGAGTGGCTTGTCCTTTTGTTCCATTTCTAAATTCTGTGGTCTGACAATTTGATCCTTTTTTTTTTTCTTTTATCTTCTTCCCCGCTTCCCTGCCCACCTCTTTCTTTCTGTCACCAGGGATTGAACCCAGAGGTGCTTAACCACTGAGCCACATCCCTAACCCTTTTTAATATTTTATTTTTGAGACAGGGTCTGGCTAAGTTACTGAGGTTGGCTTTGAACCTGTGATACTCCGATCTCAGCCTCCCAAACTGCTGGGATTACAGGCATGCACCACTGTGCCTGGCTCAATTCTTTTTCTAAGCCTTCAGCTAGCTGTAGGGCAGACTGATGGGTGCATTTCCAGTGCGGTTCCCAGTTTTAGCAGATGTTGACTCTCTGTGTCTGAGTTCCTCTGCAGTTGCTTCTGCCTCCTACCCCTTCACTATTTCTACTTTACGATGCAGTGAGATTCCAGCACACAGCATTAGTGGTTCTTTTGTTTCTCTTCTTTTCACTACAGTGCTTCTCAGAAATTCATCTGCCTGCATCTGCTCCCTGTACTTTCTGCCCAGTTACTTTCTGAGAATTGTGTATCTCCCTGGTCGTGAGAGGAGATACAGGTCAATGGGGGGCCCGGCTAGGGAAATGATTTTCTGCTTAATCTAATAGCAGCTTCTCACTGATCAAGAAGCCTTTCCATTTAGGTTTTTACTTGGTAAGTTCTCTGGGGTTCTGAGTCAGGACAAATGGTGGGAGGCACAGCAGGCCTCTTCTTTCTTCTTGAAGGGCTGCTAGCTTGAAGTGAGGTTGAAGGTTACTGGAAGCTGGGAGTTACCTGCCTCTCCCTCCAGAACTATCTGCTTTATAATTAGCTCCAACTTACAGAAGATTTGGAATTTAGGTGGTTCTTCAGCCTTTGTTCTCAATGAGGTCAAGAGTTTTTTCTTTTGTCTTATTTTTCTTTTATGTTTTTTTTCTCCAGCACTTTCATTGAATGTAATGATAATTTGGGAATGGCAATTAGGACTTCTAATTGCCATTCCCAAATTATCATTACATTCATTTTAAGAAAGACCTAAAAAGAGCATGCTACTGGGACACTGCTACATCGATGTTCATAGCAGGTCAATTCACAATAGCAAGACTGTGGAACCAACCTAGATGCCCTTCAATAGACGAATGGATAAAAAAAATGTGGCATTTATGCACAATGGAGTATTACTCTGCATTAAAAAAATGACAAAATCATAGAATTTGCAGGGAAATGGATGGCATTAGAGCAGATTATGCTAAGTGAAGCTAGCCAGTCCCTAAAAAACAAATGCCAAATGTCTTCTTTGATATAAGGAGAGTAACTAAGAACAGAGTAGGGACGAAGAGCAGGAGAAGAAGATTAACATTAAACAGGGATGAGAGGTGGGAGGGAAAGGGAGAGAGAAGGGAAATTGCATGGAAATGGAAGGAGAACCTCAGGGTTATACAAAAGTACATACAAGAGGAAGTGAGGGGAAAGGGAAAAATAATACAAGGGGGAGAAATGAATGACAGTAGAGGGGGTAGAGAGAGAAGAGGGGAGGGGAGGGGAGGGGAGGGGGGATAGTAGAGGATAGGAAAGACAGCAGAATACAACAGACACTAGTATGGCAATATGTAAATCAATGGATGTGTAACTGATGTGATTCTGCAATCTGTATATGGGGTAAAAATGGGAGTTCATAACCCCCTTAAATCAAAGTGTGAAATATGATATGTCAAGAACTATGTAATGTTTTGAACAACCAACAATAAAAAATTTAAAAAAAAAAAAGACATCTGACTTTACATTTGGAATAAATTGAACTACTTGGGCTTGTGCATTGCATACACTGGTAGATTCACATTAAAATGTTTAAATTCATTAGGGCTTGATATTTCAAGAAAAAAAAATCTGTCGTTAATTCAGGACAACTAAGATATACTTTTCATGAGTGGGAATGAAGAGGGAATCTAACCAGCTGGGTGATGTAGGTGCCAATATTCAGTTTCTCCAGGGCTCATGTAGAGGTCATTGGAATGACCTCTAATCTCTGCTCTCTGAGCCCAAAGATGAGTTTTTGTCTGGGTTCCAATAGTTCTTGTGTATTCGCTGACATAACTGACCTGAGCTTCCCTTTTGCAGTTTTCTTTTCCCTGTGTGCATGCAAAGCACCATCTTGAATCATGGTTGAAACTTTCCTTTGGTGTATTTTTAAATACTGATGTCTGAGTGATTGGTTAATGTCAGTTTTTGTGGTAGGTCAAATGGTGAACTCTCTTGAATGCTTTCCCAGAAGAGGTGAGATTGTCTTCTCTGACTTGTACAAAGATGTCAACAGTATGGATATGAACCAAGGCCCTAAGTCGGGCATTTTATCTTTTACTTCCTATAACTAGGGCTTGGTGGTAATGTTTTAAGTGGTTATGTTTACTAAATTTTTTTCTCACCTTTTAAGATATCAAACTTAGTTAAGGGTACACTAGTGAACTGAATTAAAGATTACTGGTCTTGTTAATATGCTCTTAATGGCAATTCAAAACTAGTTTTCTTTCTTTCTTTTTTAGCTTAATCCTGATTATCGAGATGCCCAAAATGAAGGAAAAAATGTGGTGAGTAAAATTTTTTCTTCCCTAATAAATCCTGTATTTCATATGAACAAATGGAAAATTCAGTATCAAATTTGAAGACCAGAATCTCTGAGAATCTCTCTCTTGAGATTCTCTGAGTAGAGCTATGGATGAAAGAAAAAAGATAAAAGATGATATAGCTTAGATTATAAGAAGTCCAATTAAGTCACTGAGGGAGACTTCTAGCAATTTGAAGAACAAAAAAGGAAAACAAGAACAAAAGTAAAAAAAAAAAATTACACTTTTTCCCCATTTAGCTGTTGGTCATTTGTGTGTCTTCTTTTGACAAGTGTCTGTCCCATTCTTCAGTTGGATTATTTGTTCTTTTGCCATTGAGAAGAGTTCCTTATAAATTTTGGATGTATATTTTGCAGATACTTTCTCCTGTTCTCTAGGTTGTTTCTTCACTCTGTCTATCATTTCCTTTGATGTGCAGAGATATTTTAGTAACACTGTTTGTCAAAGTTGTGAAACTTTTGCTTTTGTTGCCTGTCTTTCTGAGGATTCATCTAAAAAAGCCTTGCCCAGACTAAAGTCATATAATATTTTCTATCTGTTTTTTTCTAGTAGTTTCATAACCACCAGGGAAATGCAAATCATAACTACAATGAGATATCACCTCCCTTCAGTTAGAATGACTATTATGAAAAAGACAAAAAATAGCAAATGGTGAGGGTTTGGGGAACTCTTATACATTGGAGGTTGAAATGCATAGCCATTATGAAAAGCAGCATGCAAGTCCCTCAAAATTTAAATACAGAACTGTAATATGATCCAGAAGTTCTACTGCTAGGTATATATCAAAAAGAAACAAAATAAGAGTGTCAAAGAGACATCTATACTTCCATGTTTATTGTTGCACTGTTTACAATAGCCAGGATATGGAATAAATCTAAATCTCCATTGACAGATAAATAGATAAAGAAGATGTGGTACTTATTGTATAAGAGAATACTATTCAGCACTGAAAAGATGAATCCTGCCATTTGCCATAACATGGATGTACCTGGAAGATGTTAAGTGACATAAAAGAGGCACAGAAAAACACGTACTGCATGATCCTCACTCACATGGAGAATCTGAAAATGTTGATCTCCTAGGAGTTAAGAGTAGAATGGTGTCTGGAGGCACATATTCCTAGAGAAGAGATGACACAGGCTTTCTCCAGTGCAAAACCTCCCCCTTAAATAGTTCTAAGGACTAATTGTCTAATGATTTATTTATATATAGTAAATAGGAGAACTAGGTTATGTTTATATGAAGTTCTGCCCAGTTAGTGAATTAAGATTTTAGTAAAATATCCATGCAGTTTTCTTATTTTCATAGATGCCACCAGTGTGTCCTTTCAACTGCCTTTGATTTAGAGGAAGAATAAGAGCTTTATGTGCTTAATCTGCACTTAGTAGGACTTATTTGCATATGTGTGGTACAGGAAATCTTAATATGTATCCTCTTTTTAGGTTGTCCTTCACACAATTTTTGACTAGTTTGTTTTTCTTGACAAGCTCTTCTCCTTGGATACAGGCCTTCTGAGAGGACCCAGCCTAGTATCTGGATCTCCCAGCCTGTGTTGAGGGTGGCTGGTTCTTCTGTCTCAATGTCCACTATCCCTAGAGTTTGTTGCTGCAGATTGACCCAGTGGGTATGTAGGCTAATGACCGTGAGTCTTTTTTCTTGTTTAAAGGAGTCCCTTTTGCTGAAAGTAGATGATTATTATTGCTGTAATGTTAGGAAAATATTAAGTTTGTCCTGAGCATCCATTGCCATTTGGTACAAATGACATTTGTTCTTTCTGTGAAAGAGAGATGCCCTTGAGTGTGTTTGCACACAATCTCTTAGTATGGCAAGTTGAAACATCAACTTTATGCTGGCTCAGTGACAAGCAACGTCACAAGGACAGCTGTAGGGAGATTGGTCTCTTCTAAGTCATTCTTGTCAGTTGCTCCATTGGTGACATGGCCCCTTTCCCTCTTCCCACTTCAATCTAACTTTAGTGTTTTTTGCTCTGATATCATGTGTTGAAGCTTGTACTGCTGTGGAAGTTAATGTCTGCTCTCGGTCAGGCTGTGCGAGGTACATGTGTGGACTTGGAGCATGCACACTTAGTGCCGTAATCAGTAATGTTTCACTGTGTTCAAACACATCTACATAGAGTCTTCATTTGGAAAAAGAAACCTACTAGTTTGATGTCCTAAAACAAAAGCTGCTAAAAATCATAGGGAAACCAACTGAGGAGGAAAGGTGACTAAGTGACTGAAATGTGCTTCTTCCCTGAACAGCCCACTTGACCGTGGGCCTGCGTGCAATCCTTCACTAGTTGCTTTGAAGGTGAAGCAAGGCCTTTGAGCGAAGAAATGGTTAGAAAAAACATTAAGCATTTTCTCTTTTTGCAAGTTGGTGAAAACAGATTCATCCAGGGAGCTTTATCTTTTCAAGTATCATATTCACTCTGGGAAACCTTATTTTCCCATGTTTTAGAGCATGCTGGGTTTTATTTAAAACTGGTTAAAATAAATGTTATTTCCAGGTGGAAAATGACTTTTGGTTTGGTTTGAGGGTAAGAAAGGGAGGGGAAACTGCTCTTTTAATTTAATAATTGCGTTCAGCCTATTTGATTATTAGAAATATCACTAATAAGTTTTCAGTTGTCTGAAATTAATTGTAAACATCAATACAGTACTCTTTGGTTATAGTAAAGACATCTTAAGATGAATGGCTCATATTTTGTGCAGTGTTTGATGTTCAAAACAAAATGTTACAACAATAAACAAACTCTGAAAAAAAAGAGAATAGAATGGTGTTTTGCAGAGGGTGTGGAAAGTAGGGGGGAGGAGGGAATGGGAAAAGTAAGTTGATGGGTATAGAGTTACAATTAGGAGCGAGAAGTTCTAGGGTACTGTCGCACAGTAGTGTGAATATGATTAACAAGGATGTGCTGTTTATTACAAAACAGCTAGAAGAAAGTATTTGAATGTTCTTACTACCAAGAAATAATAACTGTTTAAGGTGGTAGATATTCTCATTATCTTAATTTAGTCATCACTCAATGTATACATGAAATGAAACATCATATTGTACCCCATAAATATGTACAATTATTTTATGATAAAAAATTAAAATAAAAAAAACCCATAAATTTTACCCATTGACAGAGAGTTGAGTGTTCAGCTAACATGACTACGGTGTTTGCATCAGTGCACAGTTTATTTTGGGGATGGGGCAAGGGAATCAAGTCAGAACTTCTGACCTGATTCAGTCCTGCTTGACTGACTCCTCTTTCCATTTGACTGTTGGGATTACAATTGAAAGGAAGCTGAAGTCTCGTGCCATTGGCCCAGTGAAACTGTAATTTGTGTCAAAATAGCCCTCCATACAGATGTAGGCTTGTTCCATCAATTAGATCTATTTCTATTTCAGTTTTATCACCCTGGGTGGGCTCTTCTCCTCTCGGGTTTCCAGTGGCTGATCAAGATTGTTGGATTCTGTTTTTCTTATGATTTAAGAATATGCTCTCAGTAACCAGTTTAAAAAGCTGAGGATGAATCATGGCTTCTTTGGTTCTTCCTTTGAGTTTGTCACTGCAGCAGAGTCCACCAGAAACACACCTGCTGTTGAACAAGTTCAGTTTATTACTCTTCACAGGGAGATGCAGGCGCAACATGGGGAACTGCTGGGCATCTCAGGAAGAGCATGTTAGAATAACTCATTCTATGATTTGGACTTGCGTAAGGTACTTTTGAGGAGAATTTGAGGAAGTGGAGCTTTGTCATGGATAGAGATGCTGTTAGGAAGAAGAGAATCTTAATAAATTTTACCTGAAAGGAGGGAAGGCTAAAGATGCTTCTTTAGCCATTTATGTTAGCTAGGGAAGTATTTAGTCATTTTTGTGGCTTGGATGATATTCATATTTTGTCTGTTTTCAGACACCATTAAGGAGGGTCCTGTTTTTTGTCTTGACCCATCATGGTCAAAGTGTCCTTGTCTGAAGTCGATGTTGTGTGTCATTGTTCATATTAGCAAGAGAAAAACTAGCCTAGCTGGAGTACACCTGTTGGATGTCAGGGGCTGCTTTTCTTTCTTTCAAGGGTTATTTTATAACATTCTGTGAGGCTTCTTTAGCATGGTTTAGGACCAAGAGGGCCCTACATCTAGTACCACGTGTGTGCCATTGGAAGAGTCAGAGAGCTTTCTTGAGATTCAGTTTCCTTATCTAATGGGATGAAGATGTTTACCTTATATACCTCATCTGGGTGCCATGAGATAAAATGAGATCAAACAAAGGGAAACTGAATAAAAGATGTTAGTAGGCTAGCAATAAGGGTTGTCTCTATTACAAGGGCATGATATCAAAGTTTCACATTGAACAATTGAATTACATCTCTGTGCTCATTTCCTTTCTGCTTCATACTGTTGGTGGTACTACTGATGGCTGGGCAGAGTGGAGTGGGAGAATATGGGATATAAAGGTATATAGAGCACAGAAAATATAAATAACTCATGAATCTGTGGTGAAGTTCACTGTTTGTGCTAATCCAGCTTTTACCCTGTCTTGATACGTATTTTTTTCCTTTTTATTTCAAAACACCATTTCTTCATTTACCTCTGAAGGTGAGAAGAATGCTCTTCTGTTTAAGCAGTTGTCAGCAGCATTTCCTTAATTGCACACAAGACAGGTGGGGCTGCATTTGCTGGAGATGTTTATGACTGGATCTCATCTGTCATCTCAGAGAGACATCCAACTGGAGACACTTGATTTAATTTTTTTCCTCTCCAGAAACCCTAGCTTGAGAATAAACAAAATGGAGAGTATGGAACTATAACGATAACAATATGGCTTCTCATTTTATAGATCATTTACCACAGAGCAATAATTATGTTTCTGTCTAAAGAAGAAAACAGAGGAGGCTTCAGACTTTATCTCCTGCCTGTGAAATAAGAAATCAATTTCCCAAAACAGAAGGCCATTTCACCTCAGATCTGGG